TGGTTTAATTTGTTTTGTAGGATATACATTTTAACGTAATCCATCAACCATTTCATTTCCCATGTTTGAACAATTACACTCCACCTTTAAGACCCAACCATTTTAGTGTGAAATATGTTCTGCTTAACACTGTGCAGCCATGAAAGTAGCCAGTGGTTGTTATTTTTCAAATCTGTTTTGAATGACATTGTGTACACACGAAAAGAGTCAGTGGGTGCCGGTTTTTGTTTCAAATCTGTGGACATCATAACAGATTTGGAAACCAGTCATCCACTTTATGTTATTGGTTTAATTTGTTTAGTAGGACATACGTTTTGGGTCCCCGCTACTGAACACTAACACTGTTTGATTTGAAGAACGATTATGGTTTGGATATTAGCTACCGGGTGGCATGGTTGGGTGTTGAGAAAGCTAGGGGCGAGGTGTACGGGGATCACGCTACGTCCTTTGATCAGCTGAGGTGGTATAGCAATTCTGTTATGCAAAAAAACCCAAATAGTTACATTAATCTTGAGTTTGACCCAAAAACCGGGAGCTTTGTTAGGTATTTCATATCATTTCGCGCTTGTATAGATGGGTTCAAACACTGCCGGCCTATGCTTTTTTTGGATGGAACGTTTTTGAAAGGTAGATTTAAAGGTAATTTGCTCGCAGCTACTGCTAAAGACGCCAATCAAGGTAATGGTGTGTTATTTTATTCCATTAGTGCTTATTTGCTGAACATACTAGTAAATAGATACTTCAAATTTTTATACATTTCAAATGTTTCTTTCCCATTCAACAACGGAAAAAAAAATTGAGAACATTGAAATAGGGTCTCCTCAAATAAAACCGAATAGGAATGTAAGACACAATGGCAGGCATATATTTTTTTAAATTTTGTAAAATGTGTCGCCCTTTTTTTTGCGTGGATGGTTGTATAAGTTTTGTCATGCCTAACTTTTTATGTTGCATGTTTGGTCTTAGGATTGTTTCCGGTAGCCTTTGCTATTGTTGATTCCGAGAATTCAGCTAATTGGGAATGGTTCCTTCATAATTTGAAAGAAGTTGTTGGGGGTGGGCGAACATTGACTTTCATATCTGACCGCCATGTCGGATTATTACACTCTATGCCCATTATTTTCCCTTCAGCGCATCATGCATATTGTTTGTTGCATCTGCAAATGAACTTGCGGGATCGAATGAAATATGTTAATGCATCGCACAAAATTGGGTTGATGCGAAAGTTACGGGAATGTGCATATGCGCCCACTGTTGCTTGTTTCAATGAGAAATTGGAGGTATTGAAGAAGGCCAACCCAGCTGTGATTGAAGATTTTATGAAAGACCTGCACCCCAAACACTGGTCTAATGCGTATTTTAGGTAATTCACGGCCTGCACAATGGGTTATGGCATAAATAAAAATTCCTACATGTTTTTTTGCAGTTTTTTTTTTTTTTTTTTTTTTTTTTTTTTTTTTTTTTTTTTTTTTTTTTAATGGTTTTTTTTTTTTTTTTTTTTTTTTTTTAGTTGAGAAAATTGTTGTCAATGAATTTAATGCACAGTTTGTAATGTTTTGTTGGCTTAATAATATGATTACAGAAAATTGTTGCCTCTTTTTATTGTCATTGCTTCTTGTCTATGAAAGCGTGCATGCATTGAACTGTGAGATAAATAAATAAATATGCAAGTTTTCTGCGCTATAACTTGGATTTGCAACATTATCAACTTGAATTTATTTGAAATTATTAATGTTGTCTCATAGGGAACACCGCCTTTTCGAGTGGAACCCTTGTTGGTCTCCTTTACCTAAAAATTTCCACACTCTTACACAAGAGAGAAAGAGGCATGTGTTTGATGGATGCCTCTGAAATCACAATGACCACAACTTTTCATTTATGTGATGTGTGTGTACATTGACTAAAGACTAAAAAAAAAAAAAAAACATTTGGAAGGTCATTTAGACTATTGGATTGGATGGGAAAAATGCTCAAGGCAGGCCTGATATTGTCACTTGTTGTTATATTAAATATCGAACCCATGACTTGAGGGCATTCAAATCTAGGATCCAAGGTTAATTACACTGCACGTTGTCTTCTTGAATTTTATTTTATTTTATTTTATTTTTTGTGTTGAGAGAGAGCACCTTTTAAATGAACCACATATGCTTCAAGCAATTTTTGGGGTTTATACAAGGGATGAGGATCCTTTACAGTGATTTATCATTATACTTTTTGTTAGAAATTGGGCGCCCTTGTGGCATGACCCTTTGAACCTTTTGAACCTTATTCAAATAAGTTTGAATTTGAATTCAAAACCTATTTGGATAACTACTCAGGATATCTATATCTATCACATTAACTGATATGGATAGATGAGATAGATATCTTATATATCTGATATGATATGGGATATGGTTAATCAGAAAAAACAACGTATGTTTTTTTTTTCCCATATACTGACTCTCTCCCAAAAACAACGATCAAGCCATTTTGCACTGTGATTTGTGTGGGTGATATTCATTTTGTAATATCACTCCACTGTTGGGTTGGTTGATCAAGATTCTGGAAGCACATGATTTACCCACGAGATCCTTCACTTCAGACTCTGCTTAAAGGTATGGCTTTGAAATTAATCATCTGTTGCGTTACAATACTTAATACTTTATGATTTACATTGGTATCAGAGCCAATATGGGTATTTTCGTGCTTATATTCATGATATATGCATGAATATTAATAAAGGAGGAAGATGTCCACTCTCATTAGATTAAGAGCATAAAATACTTCTCTTTTATGTTCATTAAATGTCATTTTTAATACCATAAATGTACTTATTTTGGAAAATATAGTTCGGGAGTATCGAAATTGGACCGGAAAACACCCCGGAAGGCGGCGCGTGTGCCTCACGCGCCAGATGACGCCGTCAACGGCGGGAACGCGCTACGACGCGCTGTCACGCGCTTCTACGCACTTCCACGCTCCAAGGGCCCAATACATGCGCATACACGCGCCATCAAGAGCATCAGTCGCGCTATCCACGCGCGCGCCGTCCGCAGCGCGCACGCTCGCGCCGCGCGCTGAGCCACTCGATGAGCCGCGCTGAGCCGCTTTCTGAGCCACGCCGTTTTTCCTCCGCACCTTGGCTGGCTTGGCTGCTAGTATTAAGGCACTGTTTGTTTTGTTTTAAATTCTGAATCGCGTTAAATGGTCATAATTAATTCGTTATAGCTTTGTTTTAAGCGTGGTTGGTACCGTTAGACTCAGAATTAAATTTTCTATCTTTTGTAAAATTTTCAAAATTTTATGAAAATAAAAAATATTTTTCCTGAAATAATAATTCATTATTTCTGCTTTAAAATGTATCTGGTGTTCCATGATTAAGTTTCTCGGGCTAAATTTTTTATTGTAGGCTATTATTGTAGTTTACTATTTACTGGTATGGTTATTGCATTTTACCAGATTCTGAAATATTTATTTCTAATTTTATGTGTGTTTATTAGTTATTTAAAATTCCAGAAAATACCATAAATTTTCAGAAGTGATATGCTTTCTGTTATGGCATAATTTGAATATTAAATACAGCATATTGTTATTTTTTTCCTAGAGTTTCTAATATGTTGTAATTAGAATAGCATGATTAATTGTTATTTGTTTAAATTCCATTATTAACTGTGACATAGCATGAGTTGGTTGTGGATCTACATTATGATGCTATTGTATGGAATTAAATTTTTTTATCATGCTTTTAGACATGCCATAGTCAGTGGGAGGTTATTCGGTTGAGAGAAATCTTTGTAGATTAACTCCCGAAAACTAATATTTTGCGTACAAATTAAATTAAATTTTGGATAATTGTCACCTGTGGCGCAAGAGATGATTACGAGCATAGCGGATTTTCGATCTTGCAACTTGTGTAATATTGTCACTATTTAATTTAGATTTTTGTGGCAAAATTATATTATGCTAATTAAATTAATCCCAATGCGAATTTCTCTCTAAATTGACTTAGATTATGGAAGTTAATTGGTTGACCTAGACTTAGAAGAGATGTTCAAATGTGAACAATGTAATCCTATTCTTTAGATGAGCAAAAGTCTTGGAGACTTTAGGTCAAACCTTAATTAAACCAAAGTAAGGAAATATGACTCAAAGTCCCCGTGGTTTTGTTGCCTTGTTTGGCATAATAAAAACTAATGTGTGCGCTATGGTTAGCGGCACATTACGTAGTTTTGGTTGGCGAGTTTTGGAGTTCTGAAATTAGTAAGCCCTCAATAGATCTGTATATGATCTTAACTATTGAGCTGCATGGATTGACTTTGTAATTTGACTTGTAAATAATGTTACATCATTGGATGAAGTAACATTCAAGAATCACGTCATCCAAGAAATGCGAGCTTAAATAAATTAGTCATTAAGTGTAAGACGAGTAGCCAGTATGAGCAGTGTTTTGCTCTCTACCCAATTATTGGGAGTTGGATGGAGCAAAATTTCATGCACTATAATAGTGTGCGTTGAAATATCACGTGAAGTTAAAAGATTAGCGCTTAGAAGCTGCAAAATCTATTAACACTAAGTAAAAAGATTAGCGCCAAGTGGCTGCAAAATCTATTACCATTGCCAACTTGTCTAAGTCTGGACACTTTGTTTCCACACTCAAGTGTGAGACATGGATGAGGTGCTTCTTTGTGTGATTCCTTTACTAGGCTAACGTTTTGAATAACATTTACCACTAAGCGCAAACGTTGAAGCATAGTAATGAAAAGGTTAAGGCTGACAAGGTTGTTATGACTCTAAGAATTTGACGCATCGCTTGTTGAGAGGCATTGTGTGTGAAGTTAGACTGCTTTAGCCGTAAATTCGGCTTAAGTAACTTCAGGAGCTGTCATAGATTGATTGCTATTCTCTCATTGCTTGTGGATAGTAGAATTAATGCAAGTAACTAATGAAGCGAAGAACAGAGATGGCAAGAGGAGTATCGTCATCTTTCAACTAGACGCAGTAAAGTGTATGGAGAATAAAATTGACTTGAAGGTGCAGGGGATTAGCACTTACTAGTTAAATTTGCGACTTAGGCGCACTTGGTATCTCCACGACATCTTTTTATGATCTAGTGAATATGAATTAGTCGTGAGTCATTACCTAGTTGAGCCTAAACCTTTAAAACTTGTCTTTGAGAACTCACACATTAAGATGATTGGAATTAGTTTATGACATTAGTCACAAACCGGTGGCTTGTTGTACTTAATCACATTAATGAGAAGATGACATGGATGGTTTGAGTAGGCCCTTTCGGGCCCACTCTCTTGTGACATCCTGCTCTCATATAAATGTGTAACTTTGTTCGCAATGGTTGCGCACAATTAAGTAGGAAAGCCGTAGAAGGTCATTTGTATTAGAGCATTTAGTCCACTATAATATTTGTGACTAGATACGTATAAGGGTATGATAGCTAAGCCTCAATCTCGACACATTTATAGATTATGATACGCATCTGAGTCAAGACTATTTGATCTCCCATAAGTCAAAAGTTTTGAGATGATTTTTGACATTGCACATATGAGGTCGAGATCAATTAGATAAGAGCTTTTGTGCTTTTAGTTTTGACCAAGGTAGTGAGTATCTATTTGAGTTTTTTTTAGAAAGCTCTATGAAGAGAAATGAATGCTTAGAAAATTGATTATTCCTAGTACTCAACAACACAATGGTGTAGTACAGATAAGGAATTAAATATTGTTAATGTTAGGTGGATAATGGCGCAAAATTTTTCCCAATTGGGAATTGCACTAGTTTGTTGCCTATATCCCTAACTAAGTGCCCTCCATATCAGATTTTACACTCCATTTGAGTAATGGGTTAGCGGAGAGCCATCTATGGGCGATCTGTAACCATTAAGCAGCTTATCTTTATTTTACTTCTCATAAGATTGCGAAGTTAAGACCTAGGGTTCTATAGCGCATTATTGTATGCTATCTTGTAAACACATAGGGTTGTGTGGCGCACTATTGCATGCTGTCATGTAAACCCTCTGGGTCATGTGCATATAGGTAAGCAGCTTTGTGGTAGTGTAACTAAGTCACATAAAGTTTTCTTAGTAAAGGTGACGTGAATAGAGTTTTGGAACTCTATAAGATAGAGAATTCTAAGCATAGCGCTTTATGTAGCCTAGTTAAGAATGGAAAGAAATTTCCAATATCCTAGGGACAGTGGAAGTGATGTGCCTACTAATGGATTACTCCATTAGAGAAGAATACTCTACATTCTGAGTTGCGTGGTAGCGAATATGAAAATTTTCCACGTCATCACTGGGTGATTGAGAAAGAAACATTCATGATTGCTCCGCAAGATGATAAAGAGCCTAGGATAATGCCAAAGGCTCTAGTCCACTGTTTTTAGAAAGTGGA